GGTGGTTGGGGATACAGTCGTCCTGACATTGGTTGATGATGTTATCATGAAAGCATTGGTACCAGTTCCAAAGTTGAAACCAATAGCTCCTCCACTTCCAACAGGCTCTATGGTCATTGGAGCACCAGATAGTTTACTTAACTGCTCAGTAATGAATGAATTCTCTGATGTTATGATTAGCCGTTCATTCCGCACGTTGTTCAATCTAACAAAAACTTTACCTGGTGCTTTATCTCGCACTGCTTTAGAACCAGAATACGTATAGACATGTCCAAAAGGTGATATATAATAATAGGGCATGTATCCGCTAAAAGTGGCTACACCAGATCCAGTTCCTAACTGATAGATTCCTGCTGTCCCCATGTAGCTGAAGCTACCAGTGGAAGGTATTGTTCTAACGGCTAAGAAAGGACCGGGTGTTATCAATGGCTGGCCATTGATCCTAACCATCCCATTAGAAATTTCATAATTAGGAGGAGGGATACTCTGTGTAGCAGTAGAGGATGTCTGAGTACCCATTTGAGTAGTTGTTCGTGTAGTATTAAAGGTTGTAGAATAGCTAGTTGGATCAGGTACTTGAATAGTGATACTAATCATAGCAGTGTTGCTGGTAGTAGTAACAGTTATCATTCCAGTGACACCATCAACAATATTTAATGTCCTTGAATGAGGAATAAACCCGTTAACAGAAGTAGGTCCACCTAATAAAACAACAGTGATAATAACAATTAATTAATAATGTCAACAGCAACAGATAGGGGTAGGCAAATTATGCTTCAAATTTTGCCTACTATGCTTTGAAATAAATCCAATTATGCTCATTATTATGCTCATAGTTTAAGCTTTACTCAAATATCAATTATCAAGTTACATGTACATGAACCTGTTATAATTGCAATATTATAAAAAATGTTTCCAGGCTTTGAGTCACTGGAAAATACTACAGCCTAAGCCATTGGACTCACCACACTTGCATTGCTTGAGGAGGTGAGTATTAAGCAGTTGGTTTTATTAGTACTTAAAATCATGTGGTTAGCCAGAAATTTTTGACCCATTATGCTCCCATTATGCCAGCATAATAACTTGCTCTATTATGCCTTAAATTATGCTAGTATAATTTGCCTATCCCCAGCAACAGGTACTTACCAGGACATGGATTCGTGTTACACTGTATACAGGAAAGTGGATTATTTCCAGTTCGAAAATCATTAAGATTGCTGCAGCAAGGCTGACTACCACAGAGTGCTAAAGCAGTACCAGCTTGATCCTCACACCTGCAGTACTGGATCATACAACCACCACCACAGGTCACAGAACACTAGAAATAACAATGATAAAATAATGACAACACTGAACAACAACAACAACAACAACAATAATAATAATAACTACACATACCTCTGAAGTATTTGTGCAAACACCCATTGCCATTCGATCAGCTTCTCTTTTAACCTAATAAACATTAGTTAATAATAATAAATAGATAAATATATATAAATAATATTAAGCCAGGCATACACTAGGCAATATGTTGCTAGCAACATTTGTGGATACTTTGATCTTGTAAGCAACATGTTGCCAGAAATAGAACAGCCTTCTATTTCTGGCAACATGTTGCTTACAAGATCAAAGTAACCACAAATGTTGCTAGTAAAAAGCTACCTTGTGTATGCCTGGCTTTACTTACCACAACATTGCTTGCAGAGTATTTGAACAAGATAAAAATACAAAGAAACTACAAGAAACAATAAATTCACAATCAGCTATATATGCATATATACAGTAATTGCCGTAGTAATAAAGTTGGACTTACCAGTAAAGCAGAGCTCGTTAAGGAAGACATGATGGAAACCACTCAAGAGGTGGTCGGTCCCACGCCTGTCGGCTGCAGAAGGACTTTGCAACCAGCCAAACGGGAAAAAGAAAGACAGCGCAAGAGAATATCTCCTGTTTCTGCTCCTACCTCTCTCTCTCTGTCTGTTATTTTTTTGTCTTGTGAAGAGCAATTGCGTCCAGCGGCGCGTGCTAAAGAGGATTTTATAATGAGGACTCTCGAGTCGTGAACCGGTCTACCCGGCCATTATCAGTTAGCAAGAGGCCAAGAGCCTCACAAATATATACATATACATGAATTTTAAAATAATTTCATGATGTTTTATTGACAAGTTCTTCCAGTGAAATAGGGATCCATGAGTGGTTGGACTCCATTATAAAAATGACACCTCTATCAATGTAAATGGTCAAGTCACCAAAACTATGTAACTGTTTGCCTTCGTGTCTTTTTGCTAACGGCAGAAACACAATACCCAGTTCTTCAGCCTATAAATATAAACAACAACAACAACAATAATAATAATAATAATAATAATTAACTATGTTTATGCTAGGTTTAATTTTTGTTTTTGTCTCTCATAAGAATAATAATTGAAAATAACTTCTCTTACCTTCTTCTCAATGACGTCTTTAAAACTGATACTAGTTGGAGGGACCTGTTGCTGTTTAGTTTGACTAACCTGCTGTACTTCAGGAGCTCTTCTAAAGGAGGGGACAAGAATGAGAGAGAAAGAGAAAAAAGAAAGAGAGAGGTTTTTGTGCTGTAACATATTTTATTGCT